AATGACGAAACTACTAGGTTGCAGGTGAGCAACGGCCAGACCTACTGCAGCACTGTATACTAATAACCGAAGGTCTACGATGCTGTGGCCAATGAATGCTACAAACAAGGTATTTATGTGCACCTCGACAACCACATCTCCAAGGCCATGTGGTGCTGCAGCACTACCGACGGCAACGCTTGGTTCGGGGACACCTACTTCAACGTCGCAAATTGGCATCGTGCATGGACCTACATGGCAGCACACGTAGGTCCCTTCGAAGATTGATGTACAACCTCATCCTCGCTGACAAGAAGCACAGGTCAAATCACTTCCAGCGGTCAAGAGCATAGGCATGCGGAACGAGCTCCGCACTCCGGCCGACAACGCAACCCTGACCAGCACCTCCTACAACTGGGAGGACTGGTACACCAACATGGTGGAGAACGCGAAGCAGGTGCACAGCGCCAATCCGGATCTTCTAATATTCTTCTCGGGCCTCAACTTCGACGTGACCCTGTCGCCGATCCCCACCGCATCCGATCTGGGGAGCGGCACCGTCTTCCTGAAGACGGACTTCGATTTCGCGGACAAGATCGTCCTCGAGCTGCACAACTACGACTCTTCGACTTCGAGCTGCAGCAGTCTGTCGTCGAGCTTGCTGAGCGACGGCTTCAATGCGCTGGAGACGGACGACTCGAGTATCAAGAATGTCTTGCCCGTCGTCCTGACCGAGTTCGGCTACGCGCAGGACGATACCACGTACACCGGGGTGTATGCTTCGTGCCTGGCGGAGTGGATCCCCAGTGTACACGCAGGGTGGATGGTCTGGGTTCTGGCGGGTAGCTACTACATCCGAGAAGGAACTCAGGATTATGACGAGACATGGGGTGAGTTGTTCCGCGTTGCAATGCTGACTCGCTCAAGCTAATGGTTCTTAGGACTCCTTGATCACACCTGGTCGGACTGGCGGTCTTCTGAGGCGATAGAGAATGGTATCGCTCCGATGGTTAACGCCAGTCTGGGGTAGACATGGTGAGGATCTCTTCAGCATTGAGGTCTATTGGAGATGCCAGAGTGTATCAAGATGGCGGTGTCTTGAAAACTATCCTGTGTCTCGGCCACAACACATTCATAGTGATCAACAATTGTATTGCTTTAAAAATCTTCGACCTACATGCACTCTTCTGCGGATTACAACAACTGAAAAGCGAGCCTGGTCTGCTCTCTTCATGCCCCAAAGGAAGATCACCGAGTCTGTTGATTGTAGACAAGCCACCGAGGTGATTAGCCACATATCATCAGCAACCCCTAGTCAGAAAAAGGAGGTGGAGTGAACATCACTATTCGTACGTTGCAGCAACCATCCCCGGTACATCGCAGCACCATAACACCACCCTTCCAAACCCGACAAGTCTCATCAAAATCGTACCTCATTAACCATACCAATATGCAGTGCCCCTCTATCCAACTCCACCACACCGACATATCATCAACCAAGCCCAGCCCAGCACGCGGCATCTCAAACCCACCCCCCAAAAGAAAAGTCAACCCCTACGCCACCCGACTGATCACAAACTCAATCCCCACCCTCACCCCCTCCATCCACGCGACATCCTCCTCCTCCATCCCCCACTCCTCCAACTCGACCTCCCGAACCACCACCTCCCACCGTGTTCCCGTCTCCGCCTGCACCGCCTCCCACATCTTCACAAAGGACTCCCGATTCTGATAAAACGTCACCCCCCACGGCCGAACATACTCGACGGGCCTCCGCCGCCCCTGCTGAAACCCGACGACCGTGGTGCCGGGCCTCGAGAGCGCGACGATCCGCTCACAGGCCGCCCGCTGCCCTGCCAGGCTGAACAGATGCAGGAACTGCGCCGCGATCACCAGATCGACTTGCCCTTGCACGGGGGCCAGCGCCGCGTCCGGCATGCTGTGGAAGTCCCCCTCGATGAACCGCGCCTGCATGCGATCCTCGTCGCGGAACAGCTCGTACCCCAGCTGCCAGAGGCGGGGCTCGCGGTCGAGAGCGACCATGCGAGTGGTTGGGGCGCCGTGGGCAGCCAGCAGGCGGAGGTCCTGGCCTAGTCCTGTGCCGAGGTCGAGGATTATGGATGATTCGTCCGGTAAGCGGCGCGCGCGCGCGACGAGGGTCTCGAATTCGGGGAAGCCGGCTAGTCCTGGCAGGAGGAAGATCCACATCCCTATGCAGGGGTAGTTGCCTAGCGGCCAGGCGCGGTTGCGCTTTGATGGTCAGTTTGGTTGGTGGGGGTGGAAGGTGAGGTATGGTGGTTGGGAGGAGAAAGGGAGAGTCGCGTACGATGTTGTGGAGGTGGGAGGGGAGTTCCTCGTCCGGGATCTCGCTCCAGCTGTTGTAGACGAACCGTGTCGAGGGCTTGAGGCGGGCGCCGTAGTCGGGACGGTACCAGACTGAGGGGTTGGCTGCGGAGAGGGTTGGGGTCATGATGATAGCAGAGATGTGATGATGGTGTTGATGATGGTGCGGTAGCGGAAGGGTGATGGTTGCGAGGGAGGAGGGAGTGGTTCAGGTTGACGAAAGCTGATCTCCTTAGCTGCTGTACGAGACAGCTCTGCTGGCCCCTACTGCGCGAAGAGCCATTTTTAAGTGATGTAAGCTGGCGCTTTTTTGGAAACCATTCACTGGCAGTCATGAGAACAAAGAAAGCGAGCCACTTCTCGTATCCGGCGGGCTAGCCCGAGCTGACGGCGTGTAAGCCGGCGACAGTTCGGCAAGCGCTCATTCGCAAGCGTGATTTAGAGGGGTAGGATTACATGGTTCCTGGACGTTCAGCCCGTCGACTAGGCGCAGTCAGCCTCTCATTAACTGGTGGGGTTAATTTCCTCGTCCAGTTATCCTCTGATCTGACCTCGCGAGCGCGGGGCAAGTAACAGTCGATGAGAGCAGAGTGTGCATCATTCAAAGCTGTCTGTCTGTCCTTCCGATCGTGCCTTGCAATCGTCCGTGCGGAAGATGTCATCCGAGGCTTCACGGCTTGACGATCCAAAAGCTTTGGGTGGTGACTGATCAGCTGGAGCACAGGCGCCACGCGTTATAAGAGCCCATCCAAGAACCCAAGCACAGCCGCTGAGAATGCCAGAGCGAAGGGTACACAAGCACAACATCGCCTTAACTTGGCTAAATAGCTAGAACCTCTTGGGAAAGAGCTCAGATGTGAAGCCAAGCATTTTTCTTGGTCTTGGTGGCCATGACATGCGGGCTACCACGGCAATAACTAACGTACGGAAGGTTACACATCGTTCTTCGTCCCAGATGCTGCATTTCAGGAACCGTGCAACTCTCGATGTAGCCACTTTCTGTTAGCGCTTGACGGTGGAGCTTGATGCTATGGATTTTTCGCAGTTGAATCAGCTTTGTGTGTCTACCTATTGCTTCTCTGACCGACTGCTGACATGCCGAAGAGATGTTTGGCCGATGAAGGCAACTCTCTCATGTCCGAGAACAAGCAAAGGAGAGGGATTGGGGGGGGGAGGGAAGTGAACTTGGTGAATAGGGGAAACCAGGGTATGGATGTGACACAGCAGCATCCGAGCGGCAACGACCCGAAGGTCATTATGGGGCTGGGGATGTACATCGGTGTGATCTGTATGGTGTTTGCGCCCAATTGCATGGAAGTTGGATATTTTTACTGTAGGGACGGACGGCTTGGCAAAAAGCATACCTCCTTTTACGGGGAGCGAAGGGAAGAAAGCAAAAAAGAATCTCCCCGACTGGGAGTCGAACCCAGGTCTCCCGCGCTTGTTCCCGGAAGGGATTGACAAGCGGAAATCATGACCGTTAGACCATCGAGGAATGGAGATACCAAAGGAGGCCTAATTTGGCATCAACAGAGCTCTTTTCCGACAAACATCAGAACAATGCTGTTTCGAAATGCCTCAGGCGGAGTGTCTGCTTGTACCCTGTAAAAATCTTTCGGTGGGAGTGGGAGTGGAGTGTGGACTTCAGAATAGAGTCTTGGCATCACAACAACTAGTTCGACATTGTTGGGAATACGATATGCGTAGCCACCAATAGCCGAAGTCTCGAGTCAATATTGCATACTTGCTCTTGCAGAGACAGTGGCCTGTAGGAGCAGTTAAAGGGCATGAGACAATACTACCATCCCAGCCAGCGAACTTGCATTTTAAGAGATTAACTTAAAATTCCTACGGGGTCGACAAGTGTTTGAATGGATTATTCTGTTCGGAGGACCAAAATCATACAAACATTTCTCATACTTGGACATAATTACCCAAGCCGAGTTTATCTACATCAGGGCCTCATTCACCGAGTAAGATTCTACCGGTAGGCAAGTGGTGTTTTAGCTAACCCGGGAGTGTAATTCCAGCCAGGGGGGAAATGGTTGGACCAAAAGAGCGGCGGAATATGATATGGTTCCACAGGTGAGTTCGTTCAATCCCGAATAAGCTTAACACGGCGGGATTCTGCATGATGTAAGGGTACAACTCCATTTATTGATCAAGGCTGCTCGTCCCCAGTCCTCAACCGAACCATCCCTCAAAGCCAAGAGAGCCCCCTATGCAAAGCACGGTTCGAGGCCTCTCGAGACCTGCGAGCCCCTGGCCGACAGTTCGGCCGCATGTGACCTATCAGCCGCGCAGTCATTTTATTTGCACCAATCTGGCATGTGAGCGACGAGCGGCAGGCGTCTATCGCTTTATTGCAGTGGGAGAGGCAATATCCTCGACTACCATTACCTTTTCATTGAAGTCTGATTGTCGGCTCCTCATTTCGATCAACAGGCACCATCCACCTCGCCTGCGACGATTGAGCCGTCCTGCATGGACCCTGACCTGCAATTAACGCAACACCATCAATCGAATCGATCACATCAGCCCCTGAATTTCCTAAACGGGTGAATGGTGAATGAACGGTGCTCACTGGATATGAGTCGATTGTGCGAGATATGAAGACATGGAAACAAAAAAAGGTATATAAACCCCCCGACCACCGGGCCAATCTCTCTCAATCATCCCAACAGCATCTCTCACTCTCTCCAGCCTACTCCAACTACCAAACCAAGCCCACTTTCAAGCTTACGCTTCAACTCTCTCTACCACTTTCAAGATGCAGCCTACCGTTCTCCTCATGGGCCTTTTTGCCGCCGTCGCCGTCGCCGCGCCCACTGCCCCCGGCTCCAGCACCGACGTCACCTCCAACGTCAACTCGAACAACCCCCAGGACAACAGCCAGAACGTTGAGCAGACCCAGACCCTTCCTATCAGCGTCGCCCACGATGGTATCTTGAACAACAACGACATCGTCAAGAACGTCGACGTGACTGCTCTCAACGACGTCGCCAACGACCTCACCGCCGTAAGTGCAACCGCCCATAGCTCCGCGAGCCCTTCGTGCAGAGAGTAAGATCGCATCCGTACTGACTTTACCCCCAATAGGCTGTCGGCATTCTGGGAACCGCCTCGGCTTAAGGCAGCGATCATTGACTCCGTTCAAAGCCGCGGCCTTCGAGACTTTATGCGAAGGAGATAGGCAATGGCGGGAAGGAGTGGAGGCGGGATTTGTCTTGACTCGTCTTGTACTTAGACATTTTCTCTTCTGAGGTTGATAGTAATTTTAATCGAGATGTGTTTATACACCTGAATTAGCCGGTCATAACCTGCAAAAAGGAGTGGAAGGTGTAGAGAGACGCTCTGGGGCTCGGATTCTCATCCGAAAGCCGCACAGCAGGAGTCTGGATCCATGATTCCGGATTGCGTCCTCGCGGTGCGCGAGGTAAGAATACGTCACTTGTAGCGAAGCGTTCTTCCATAGATTCTTGATCATGCTCAACCAAAACAACCAAGTGGACCGCATAACATTATGGCTCTGGTGATTCGAATAGCATCGCAATATAGAATATACCTGGAAGTATCTGGTGGATGCGTAGGCGGGACTGCTGGTACTGAATCAGAAGCAGCACTTTCGTGATCGCAAGCTACATCGTAATCGCGGAAGGAATGAGTGAGCCGTGTGTGTTTAGATATGTATTATATATGTCAGTGTATTTATACATACTGTACTGTGTATCTGGATATATATATGACTCTTGTTTGCAGCGACCAGAGCCGTGATCGAGAACTGCCAGGACACAGCACAAGATCAATATCATCTGTAATGAGATTAAGTCCGTCATTGAACACTCCACTCGGAACATGATTCCAAGCATCGAACATAGCAGCAAGCTACCCCGCACATCTTCATTTTTGAAGACTCGAAGGCATGAAGTCTTTCCCGCCAGTCTTGGCATTATGATGCTGCCGCCCGCATCGCGCAATAGGGCGTGGCTGGGCACCTATAGTATCATGCCAGCGGTCTGCCGATATGAATTTCGGTACCTATCCGTTGCAGCAATATCTCAAGAGTGGCCCTGCATTTGAGACAGAGGCTTATTCATGCAATGCAGGATCTGTAGAATGGGCCGGGGCGGTTGAGCAACGTGATCAGATCCATACGGGCCACGATTGGGGACGGAAGATTCGGTACTGGAAACTGTACATCATGCACACTCAATAATTACAAAACTCTCATCTATAACTCTATCGAAAAGTCGAAAGTAAACACTATCCACAATACAGTCCGACTGTAGCCCATACCGCCAAATGTCAGGCTAGAAAGCTACCGCCCCCCTAATCATAGCCATAGCACAAATAACCACCCTGGGTGTTCATGACCGTGCCGATCGTGACATTAGGCTTGATCTCAAACGAGGACAGCGCGTAATGCAGCGTCGCGTTCTGCCACCCGCCAGCCGGCTCGACATTGGCCGTGTGGTTCAGCGTCGGTCCACTGATATCGTACATGCGGTTGATGGGGTCCGCCTTCTGCCACGCCCACCACACCTTGTCGATGTAGGCGTGGTGCATGAAGAAGACCGGGTCGCCGGGGGAGGACTTGATGTCGGCCATCTACAACGTCTATTAGCAAGATCCTTACTCTCACAAAAATGGGGTTGGCTAGAGAGGTAGAGAACCTACCACACCACCGATATTCGTATGGACCCCCTTGTGCGGGATGTTGGAGACGCAGTCCCACCACGGCGAGTAGGTGGTGTACGCGTTACACGCGTTCAGCGCGGTGCTGTTGGCGTTGGCGATGGCGGCCTCGTTGTCCCACGCGCGTCGCAGGCAGTAGTCCGTGTCCTCATCGCCGGGCCCGATGTGCAGGGTCATGTTGGCGAAGCGGCCGTCGGTCACGCAGGAGCCCGATCCAGTGCCGTTGCCTCCGAAGGCGTCGGCGCCCCACATTGTGGACTGGAACATGTTGCCGCTGTCGGCGTCGAGTTGTTCGTTCCAGTAGCTTTGGGGTGGGTCATGTTAGCGTCGTGTTTTACCAGGGGACGTTGAGGGTATCGGGGGTATGGGGGCAGCGTACGGAATCGAACCGGTGTAGCCGCACTCGTCGCGGAGGAGGGTCTCGTAGATGTGCATGTAGTATCGGTGCCAGGGGAGGAACTGGCCCACGTGGTGGATGATGTCCGCGTACGCGGTGTTGGTCATCCCGCGGTGCAGCGCCTGCAGGTCGCTGAATCGGCTGGTGGTCGCGCTGAGGCCGGACTGCGCCGGCTTGTCCATCAGGCACTGCAGGGCGTCAAGGAAGTGACTCTGCTCCTGGGTGGTCAGGTGCCGCCATTCCTTGCGGATGGTCATCTTCTCCTTGGTGCAGCCGTCGGTGAAGTAGGAGGGGATGTAGTCCGTCGTGGACTCGCGCTTCTGCGCCGACGCGGGGACGGCGGCGGCGGTGGTGGCACTGGCTGCCAGAGCCAGTGCGGTGGTGAGAAGTGAATACTTCATTTTGAAGTAAGCTTGAAAAGATAGATTCAACGAGTGACAGTTAATGATTGAATGTGAAGAAGAGAAGAAGAGAACGGCCAAGAAAGAAAACGAGGGGAGAGTGGTCTGCGGGGAGAAGAATGCCAGCGGTTCTGGCTCCTGGCTGGTCTTTATACAGTCCTCCCTCGAGGTCCTTCGTATCCCACCGATACACATACTTTCGTGTCTGTGACGGGAACACTTGACAGCGCCCTGTGGGGAGTGAATCATGATTCTCAAGGTACAGTGCCTATATTCGGCATCGTCTGTGGGTGAGTGATGAGTCCACTGATCAAAGTCCCGCGTGGACCGGGCCCGCAGTCGTCGGTACCATCGGGAGACGGAGGTCAATCGACTCGTCACCTCCGAGACTATACTAAAGTGATTCTATGGAATGCAAACGAGGTCGGTTCCTCACTGTAGCTAGAGATGTATAGCAGCTCTAGTGACAGCACTTGTGCCGGAGTATTCCCGAGTGGCCGACCGATCTGCTGGAAGATCTCTGCACACCGGTATGAGTCTCAACCACCACATAAATTCAAGATGATCGCTTTGGCTGCTCTGGATGCACATAGTCACCTTGGATTTTTCTATACGAAGACCTCAATCTATTGACAGTTGGACTTTGTCCGAGTTGGTCAAAGTCTCCGCATGGGACGCGGCGGACAGGTCTTGGCGCTAGGGCTGGTAGCGAAAGACGCGCGTCCCGAGCTGACAGGCCAGAACGCCGCTGAAGAACCTCGACCCTGACAGCAGGGAAAAGGCGCTAATGCGAACACATCCCCATAGGGCTTTGCGACGGCGGTAAGAGATCGATATTAGTTCGGTTTGGATAACGATTTCGAGAACCTTCACCGCAGGCGTGAGCAATGGAGAATTAGGAACTAGGGCCATGGACTTCCGAAGGGAGATGAACTGCTGACTGGACAGTATCAATGATACTTTTGGCATGATCTTGAAGGACACAGTCCTCACGAAGATCGTATGCATCTAAGCCTCATACATGGCTGGCTAAAATTGGACAGGAGGTGAATCCATCAGTCATTAGCTCAATCCAAGATCTGACCTGGAACCCGGCTACAGCCGACACAGTTTAGCGTGAAAGATTGAGATAAGATGCAGTCGATCCCTGCCTTTTTCACAATCGGCTCCCACGTCAGCCACCAGGAATTCTCTTCCCTTGGGCCGCGCAGTCCATGAACAGGCACTTCAATCTCTGTGGCGATGAAGTGCAATTTAAGCCAGGATCATCCCTTGAATCTCAGCCAAGCCCACGCAATCTGCGTCTTGGCCAATGCTTGGCGCTGAGATGGTCGAAACCAGTCTAGCGTGCTGGATCGTATAGCTTCAAGGCCGTGGAATGCGCTATCCGATTGGGAGACTGGACTCAATCCACATGCCGCTGACTCAGATTCAGGCCGCTGAGTCAGATGCTCTCTTGCCTTTGCACAGAAAAGCCAATCCGATCTACTGTTCGGTAGGTACATGTTGCCGTTGCCATTGCTCCTGCGGGATGGAGATAGGCTTATCAAGCGAGACGTCAACTTGCAAGCGGTTTATGGTGGAGCTGACTATGATCAAGGCAACGATTCTTGTTGACAGTACGCGTCTATCACTGATAACGAGTGCGAGGTTTGCTCTGGTGTCTCATGACCATTTCATCTCAAACGCGGATGCAGCTTGCCTTAACCCCAGAATGACTACACTGCACAGTCCCGACAACCCTCTCCTGTTCCTTCAGACACGCCCTCATGCCCCTGCTCAATCCACTTGAACTCTTCTTTCAGATGCAGATGAGCTCGCAGGTCCCCGGACCGGGCGTGTCCCTCAAAAAACTCCGCCCTCGCTGCGCGACCACAGAGTTTACCAAGCTGTCCACTGGCTTCATCCGACGTGACCTCCTGGTAGGTAATGGTCCGCAAGAACTTCCCAACCCAGAGACCTCCAGTGTAGCGAGCCGCCTTTCTCGTAGGGAGTACGTGGTTGGTTCCGATACACTAAGAGCCATAATTTAGTCTCCCGTCATCCCTGCGACGTCCTCAACGCAGACATCGAGCACTCACCTTATCACCATACGACACGCAGGTCCGCTCGCCCAAGAACAGCGCGCCATACGCCGTCATCTTCTCCAGCGCATCGCGCGGATTCCTCGTGAAGATCTGCACGTGCTCACTGGCGATCTCATCCGCCATCTGCCAGGCCTCGTCCATTGTATCCGCCACGATCGCCTCGCCCCAGTGCTCCCACGAGACGCCCGCCAGCGCCGCCGTGGGGAGCTCTTTCAGGATCTGGGTGATGTAGGCGATCGCCGTCCGGGCCACTTTCTCGGAGGTGGTCAGGATCACGCACGGCGAGTCGGGCCCGTGTTCCGCCTGCGACAGGATGTCGGTCGCCACGGTGAACGGATCCGCCGTCTCGTCGGTTACGATCAGGATCTCTGTCGGCCCCGCGAAGAGGTCGATGCCGATCTCGCCGAACAGCTGGCGCTTGGCCTCGGCGACGAAGGCGTTGCCCGGCCCCGCGAGGAAGTCCACCTTGGGGATGGTCTCGGTGCCAATGGCCATGGCGGCCACCGCTTGCACCCCACCCAGGATGTAGATCTCGTCGGCGCCGGCGAGGTGCATGGCTGCCACCGTGCTGCTTGGGATCTTGCCGTTGATCGGGGGCGTGCAGCCGATCACTCGCTTGACTCCGGCCACCTTGGCCGTCAGGATTGTCATGTGTGCGGACGCAAGCAGGGGATATCGGCCGCCGGGGATGTATCTGCAGTTGATGCCAGCATGTTAGAGCGATGTGATTCTGTCGCACACGCCAGGAGACTTACGCGCCAACGGTCTGGATGGGGATGTTCTTCTGGCCTAGAAACACTCCCTGTACAGTACACGATTAGCATACACAACTCACTGAGCAACGGAGAGGTAGTACCGGCTGCGTCTCGATCTCAAAATCCTGGATCGACTTGCGCTGCGCCTCGGCGAACCGCCGCACATTGGCCTGCACCTCCTTGATGTCTGCAATGGTCTGCTCCGGGACGTCCGCCATGATCGCCTGGATATCCTGCGAGGACAATCGATAAGACGTAGGCGACCATTTGTCGAACTTCTCCGAGTACTTGCGGACAGCCGCGTCGCCGTTCTCTCGGATGTCGTCGATCACCCCCTTGACGATGGCCGAGACGTCAACGGACGGAGCTGTCGACTTTGTGCTCTGCGGCGCCCGTTCTTTGAGATATGTATAACCCATGATGTAGTCTGCTTTTGAGGAGTGTGCTCTGCTTGAAAGCCAATTTCAGTAACACTGTTGTGCTGGATACCACATCTTTATACCCCTCGCCACCACCCGCGGCCCTCAACGGCTTCGGAACAAAGTCCGAAGTATCCTATCATCCCGAAATCTACTCAAACAAACAATGAAGTCGGCCTTCTGTCCGAATACTGCATATTTGTAGCCGGAATTGAAGTGGACAAACTCAAGTTGAGGGGATGCGCAGTACATACCTTAAATCACTTCCGATGTGGAGCCGAAAAGACCAGCCCCCCTTTTTCGGATAGTTCCCCCCCGTTCAAAACCCAACCACAACCCCCTCCCCTAATCCCACCCGAATCCATCACCTTAATCTTCTGATAGCTCCAATGACCACCCCAAAAGTAGCCCTCATAACCGCCGGATCCCGCGGCGTCGGGGCCGCGGTCGCGCGCGCCCTCGCCCGCGACGCCCACCTCCGCGTGGCGATCAACTACCACTCCGACCACACGGCCGCAAAGGCGCTGGTCGCGGAGCTCGCAACCCTCTCGCCATTACCACAGGACTCCGCTGCGCCGAGCTTCATCGCGCTGCAGGGCGACATGGCGCGTCGGGAGGAGATCACGCGCGTGGTCGCGGAGACGGTGCGCGCCTTCGGGCGGCTGGACGTCGTCGTCTCGAACGCGGGCTGGACCCGGATGACGGACTTCATGGACCTGAATGCGGCGGATCAGGAGGCGGACTGGGATCGATGCTTCCAGGTCAATGTGAAGAGTCATTTTAGGCTGTTCCATGCGGCGCGCCCGTATCTGGATGCCGTTGGGGGGTGCTTTGTCGCGACCGCGTCGGTGGCCGGGGTGAAGCCCAGTGGGAGTAGTTTGGTACGTCTGTCTTTCTACCTTTGATGAACGCGGGTTGAGGGTCAAGGACGGATGCTGATTTTTGTCAGCCTTATGCCGTGACCAAGGCGGCGTTGATTCATCTCGTGCGCAGTCTGGCGGTGATTGCGGCACCGAACATTCGCGTGAATTCTGTCGCGCCGGGGGTGCTTTTGACGGTAAGACCTTTTTTCCCTCAAGATATGGGAATGTTGGCTGAAAGTGTCAGGATTGGGGCCGTCAGTTTTCGGAGGAGAAGCTTCGGTCGGTTCAGGAGAAGAACGCGCTCAAGCGATTCGCTACCCCGGAGGTTTGTGTCGGAGTCCTTAGAGACAGAGGGATCACTAACTCCATCACAGGACGTGGCAGATCAAGTCCGCTTCTTGGCGATGAGTTCCTCGATCACGGGCCAGAATATTGTGATAGACGCAGGTTTTTCTCTCTGAGTTCAGGGAATACACACTACCTAACATACAGGTTGTAGGGAGGGGGGCAGCCATTTTGCATCTCATGAAGATATACATGGTAGCATGAAGGCTGGTTTAGCTTTGCACTAGCCAACGTGGCACAAAACATTGGCTAGGGCGCCAGCTTCTTCCAATGGACAAGTTTACGCAAGCATGGAGTCATGCTGCAAGGCTGGCGCTTAGGCAATGCCCCCTTTGCCGCAGTGGATTACATCAAGATGCCCAACTATATCTAGCCAGCTCTGCAATCTGCTCATCGTAGCCCCCAACTATGTCAGCCTACAGTAAAGAACTCCATTTCTTAGCCTTCATCGTATTCCGTATTTCATGGCCTCTGCTTTTTCCCAACTTCTACACGACCTTCGTGATCCCACAGACGCGGATCTTCCACCAGCTGCAGCCCAACCACCACCACAAATCGCCCTCTTCTGCCGCTCCGGCCACCTCGAACTCGTCAAGACAATCTTCCACGAGATTCACGAGACTGACGACTCGATTTCACCAGGCGCCCTTTCAACCGCCCCAGGAACCATTCTCGGCCGCATCGGCCGAACCACTGCCCTCCTCTCACCAGTCCCAGACATCGGGAAAACCAGAACCGCAAAGCACGCACTAGATCTGAAGCTCTCTCTGCCGAGCATCGACGTTGCCATCGTGATCGGCTGCTGTACCGCAGCTCCAGATGCCGAGGACGGGAGGCAGATCTTCCCCGTTGATGTTTTGCTCGCCGACGGCGTGGTGGAATATGACATAGGAAGGCTGATTCCGGGCGGTCGGTTCGTTCGCAAGGACGTGGGGATCATCAGACCCTGTGAGAGGGTATGGGCGGTGCTGGACGAGTTACGCGAGGGAGGCGGGGGGAAGGAGCTGGGTGATAGGATTGGGATAGAGGGCGATAGAGGTGTAGGGATCCATGTTGGGACGGTCGCTTCCGGGGATCGAACCCTGGATAACAATGAGGAGCGTGAAGCGCTGAGGACGGAGGTGTCGGCTGTGGGGTTGGATGTTGGGGGTCTTTGTCTCGGTGTTGCGACTGTTTTTCGTTCCTGTCTTGTTGTGCTGGGTGTGGATGGAGATGCTGATGAGGGCTGTGGGGATTGTGGGCGACGGCGGGCTGTATGGACTGCCGATGGTCACAAGGAGAAGCGGTGGCAGCCGTATGCGGCGCTCTCTGCGGCTTGTTGTGTCAAAGCGCTTCTTGCAGGGGTTGCTGGCGAAAGTCAAGGCTTGGAGAAGGGGGCCTGTGGCGGGGATCGGGTGTCTCAGTCGGTCGCGCAAGGTGGGCCAGCGTTTGGGGAAGACGAGGTGTGGTTTCGGTCTTGGAGGTTGTGTGTTGCCGTTTGTCTGGTCGGTGTGTTACTATGTTTGTATGTGTGATGAATGGTTTAGAATGTCGAGCCTGTTCTGAACGGGATCCCTCGACACGGCAGTCATAAGCTTGTTCTAGAAGAGAGTCAAGTCCACTGTAGGATATACTTGAGGACTTTAGGATTGCAACCTGTATGCATCACACCAACTCCCCTCTCAGCACCTACAACCAACCATCTTCCATCGAGTTCGCGCAGGTAACCCGCCTCATCGGGACCATCCAAGACAATCCCGAGTCCATCAGATAAGATCCAATCCCCAGCATGAACGCATCCCACATGGCACCGAACCCCCCTCGCGTCCCAAGCAACACGTCCAACACGTCCAGCCTTATAAGTGGATTTTCGTGATCAGTTGACATCTCGACGCTGCTGGTATGGTGATTGGACGAGAGGGGGCGCGTTGGTGCTGCCGCGTAGTGAGTAACACATGGGAGTGGGGACGGCCTTATCTGTGGAGTTTCGTGATGCTTTGACTTCTCGGGAGTAGGTGTAGGGCGTGGTGGGTGTTGGGCTGGTGCCTATGGATTATTTTGAGGAATGTCTGTTTTGTTTGAGAGTCTACAGTGCCTTCATGGATCACGATGAGGGCTATGGGGAGAATAGCTGCGCGCAAGATAAGCTGGGATCCAGAAGAACTTTACCCTAGAATGGGTGTGCTAGATAAAGTGAATGTTATTATTTGCATATCTTGGAGAGGCCCAGAAGCCTAATATGGTCGCATTCTGGAACAAAAGGTCCTCAAGACACAGATCAAAGTATGGCACCTATCTACATCGCAAAGCCAGTATTTGAGAGTATAATCAAGAACTGTCATGATCTCATATTCAATTCCTGCCCTTGAATCCAAGGGAACATTTAAAAAAAGAATAGACGCTATCATGGCCGCGTGCTGTCAATACTATGTACATAAAGTGACGTAAAATCGGTCAGAAAGACCATAGAAACTGCTTGTTGACATTCTCAGATCCCCCTTCTGTCTTAGTACCTGTTCTGCGGTACTTGATTGTGCTGCCCCGAATAATACTCCGCATTCGCAGGCGGTGCTTGACTGTAGGACGCATGGGTGTTGGGCGGTCCTTGGTTGTACTGCTCAGACGGGTATTGCGCACCCGAGGGCGGGCCCTGGTTGTAGCCCGTGTGGGGGTTCGGCGGCCCCTGGTTATACTGCTCCGGGTGGTATTGACCCTGATTGGGTGGTGGTTGGTTGTAAGGGAGGTTGCTGTTGGGCGGGACTTGATACTGCTCCGGGTTGTGCTGCACGGCCTCGGGCGGGGGCGCGCCGGGCGCTTGGGCGTGGAACATGTCGCTCTGAGCCAGTTGCTCCGGCGGGATATCGCTGGGGCTGGGGCCGGTCGGAATCTGCACCCCAGCCGGGGCCTGGTCGAAGTTGGCCTGGCCGGCCGCGGACTGAATTGTGTGCACCAGCCCCTTCACGGAGGGGTTGTTCGACCGGACCTGACCGGCCAGGATGTCCTTCACCGGCACTCTGCGACCGTAGAATTTCTCATTCTCATCCGACCGTTCCACAATGATTGATCCGTCGATCTGGATGCCCCCGTACAGTCCCTTGGACTTCATGTAGGTCCAGATCGGCGCGCGTCGCTTGTGCACCTCGCTCTCGACGACGCCGCCCATGCCAATCGGACCCGCAGCCACGCTGACCTCACTGCCCAGCGTGACGCGCAGCTTGGTGAAGGCCTCCAGCGCCTCGTAGGTGTTGATCACCATGACGCAGTCGTAGATATCCGCGCCGGCCAGGAAGCCCACACCAGCAGTGTGCAAGAGAATCCCCGAGGGCTCGGTCCACTGACCCGTCTGAGGATCGCGGGCGATGAGAATGCCACTGCCCCCCGCACCGCTGAAGCCCCAGCCCCACCGCATCGCAGTGAAGACAGCCAATCCCTTCGCCTCCCGAATGACCTCTGCAGGGATCTTCTTCAATACCTTCTGCTTGCCCCGCGGCTTGTCGATCTTCTCCTTCTCCTTGTTGTTGGAGGCCTCAGGCCCGCTGACGGGCGGAGCGCTCTCAGCCTTCTCGTCGATGTAGACCCCCTCCTTGCAGAAGCTGCGCAAGATACGGGCGGCCTTGTCGCATTCCTTGTCGATGGACATGGGCCAGAAGGCCTCCGCGCCCAGCTTGTTGGAGAGACGGTTGACAGGCCCACCGAGCTTGTCCAGGGCGTCCCAGCCCTTGTCGAAGGTCTTCTTGCCGAAGACTTTGGTTTTGTCCCATATTTTGCTGGACGAGCTGGCGGTATTTTGTTGTGGTTGAGACATTGTGAGGATGTGTAAGAGGCTTTTGTTTGTCGGTGAGGAAGATCAAGAGAAAGTGGGAAGTGCAGTGGAAGAAGTCAAGTATATGTAGGTGGGCTATCGGGAGGCTGACGTCGAAGGCACCAACATTAATCTGTAATTAGGTTGAATTGGAGGGGCAGCTCAAGCTAAGCCTTCGTAATCCGCCCTACAACCGGCTTAGCGTCCCTTTTTCCCCCACCAAAATGTGGGTTGGATGATTTCATCGCCACACTTTCTCTCCACTTGGGCTTGGTCCGATTGGGAAATATTCTCGTTTACCTGCTTGGACTCCAGTCATGAAGTTTGAGTCCGTCGCATGTGAGAGGGCTGAGCAAAATCTCAGTATTTAGGCAAAGACGAAATGCATGCATGCCCTATCGTTCAGCCACGAGCTTATTGCTTCTCGGATCGATGACGTCGGCCGATGTCGGTCTACTGACCATTAAGCCTTGTATGTTTGCATTTCTTCCGAAGGATTACAAGCCACAACGTACATGGTACACCACACAATAAGCTCAACTTGAACGTCACTTTCGAAGAGAAATTTGACTTCCTCCCTCTTCTAAGCCCTGGTATCCCGAATGGGATCCTTCTCCGCGCTCTCCACACTCTTCAGAAACTCCCTGGCCGCCTCGGGATCCTCCGCGAACAGATGCTCCGCCACGTTCCGCCGCGGCGTCTCGCCCATCCACTGGAACAGCGAGAAGTCGCGGAACCGATCCGCGCGGAAGATCTCGAGCACCTCGACCTCCTCCTCGTCCGACAGGTTCTCGATGAAGTGGCCCATGTTCTTGGGCACGATCCCCACGTCGCCCGCCACGTAGTCGAAGGTGCGCGCGTTGCCCTCCGCGGCGAAGATGGTCACCCGCGCCCGCCCGCGGATGAAGTACGACCACTCGTCCGCGTTGGGGTGCCAGTGCATCTCGCGGAGGGCCCCCGGCTGGATCGTCAGGTGCGCCGCGGCCACCGTCTTGGAGATCGGGAAGTTGGACGAGTCGGTGATGCGCACCTCGCCGCCCGAGGTGCGCTCGGGCTTCTGGGCCAGCATCTTGTGGGTGAACCGCTCCTTGGAGGGTTTGAAGTTGGGCGGGGTCTCTTTGGGGATCGAGGCCGGGTGCGAGCCCGGGAAGATGTATTTCTCGCTCGTGGGGAGGTTCTTGAACAGTTGCGGGCGGAGGCGGAAGTTCTCGGCTAGGACTGCTTTGGGGGTGTGTGCTATTGGGTTCTTTGCATTAGTCTGGATAACGGGCGCAGGTGGGATGGGGAAAGGGGGTGGAAAGTCAACGCACCCATCCAGTCCGTCAGCAGGAACGTCGACTCCTCACTGAAATTGCCATCGTCGAAGATCAAGAGAAACTCGGTGCCGTTCTCCCCGAGCCCCTGCAGACTGTGCGGGTGGCCGGAGGGGAAGTACCACAGATCCCCTTTTTCCAGATCGTCGATGAACGCGTTCCCGTCGAGGTCAATCCCTGTCACGCGCACCTGGCCCGCGAGGACGTACGCCCATTCGGCCTCTCGATGCCAGTGTAGCTCTCTGTAGACTCCGCTGTCGAGGCGCATGTTCACGCCGGCGAGCTCCTTGCTGGTTCCGAGCTCGCGGACGGTGGTTTGGCGCGTCCAGCCGCCTTCCTATCCAGAGTCAGCATTTTATCTGAACATTCTGGTAGTGATTTGTTTCTGGTAACCACGCACCTCAATTCGCACGTGGGAGTCAGCAAATGACCATCGCATGTTGGGCAGCGAGCCATGGTCGGTGCTCGGGGGTCGAACAAGGTCGGGGTTCTGGCGCTCGCGGTCCTTGTTCCGCGGTCCCATCACCGAGGCGCCATCGCCCATCCGCCAGGGAAGGGGCTCTCGATCTTCCCCGATGGCATCTACCTTATGGTCCCAGGGATCACGGTGGTCGGGGGTGAAGGGCTCTTTGCTGTTGAAGAAAGTCGAGGGCGAGGAGGCCGGAATCTGCATCAACTGCTGATAAACGTCGTTGGGTACTGGGCCAGCATGGCTGTGTCCAATCAAGCCGGTCACGGCCACTAACGCCAGCAGGGACTGGGGGGACCTCGATAGCAATTGCATGTTGTAAGTGTGGGCGAGAGGCGATTGTCTGGGGAAGATCTGGTCTGTCGCTGAGGAGAGGGTCGCCCTCTTTATAGGTTGGTGAGGGATTATTCGTGCTCTGCTTCCGGGCTTTCCGACAACGTGGAAGAGAACCAGGGGGTGTCAGAAACCGGTCATCGAGTGGGGACGGATTTGGGAAAAGGGGCCTCTCATGTTGAACAGAAGGGCTGTTGGGTCAAAGCTTGGGTTTTGCTTGTGCTTGGGTGGGGGGGAGGAATTGATGCGGGTTATTGGCGGACGGCTCAGCCCTACAGGGCTGGGACGGCACGTCATGGTCATTACGACGTCACCTGCCTTTCAACAGTTGCTCCCAAGCGGCATTTCCACAACGCCCTAATTTCCGATAGGTATGCAGGGGAAAATGCCAGGCTAGCCAACTCGATGGTCCAGGAGCATCGACTGGGGATGCGAAGATTTGCTCCTGAGATGAGATGGGCCTTCGTCCCCGCTTTCGAGGGAAAGTTCTTGCCCACTACTGCCTTTGAGTGGTCATAGTATCATTCTCCCCGGTTTCTTCTTTTTGTACGCTCTTGTATGACAGAAGGTTCACTGTGCGAGCATGCTACACATCACACATTCACAGGCTGTGTTCCTGGCTGCCTGTGAACAAACAGGCGGAGCCGGAACAATCCAACGCCGAAATGACCCTGGTAGCACGCTAGACCCTTTACACCCTAGTGTTCTTGAAGTCCTGCCTCAGGCATTCAATATCTAGATAGTATCATGTTAACAACGGTGAATATACAACAGAGTAGCTTGCAATGGATCATTTCTTCATCTTCCTCGCTTCTATAAAGCTTTTCATCATTTCTTCTCACTTCATCTCTCTCAACTCGATACCCCACACCCACAACTCATCCATCTCATCGACCATCTCGAACCTCCGCCCACAACTCCATCATTTCATCGCCCATACACCACGAAAATCATCGAAACAGAAGAAAACCCTCAAGACGATGCGTCGGCTTCTGGAAGCAAATGCCCTGGGCCCCGTCCATCTTCTACCCACCGCGACCCGTCTCCCCAGGGCCGTGGTCCATGATTCGATGAAGTCACATTGGACCGGACCCCCCTTGTACAATCCTGCTTCCTCGAGCCCGCACGAGGTCACCATGAACATCTTGCGGCACGAGGCCGATGGCGAGCCGTTCTTCACGAAGGAAGCCTTGCAGGAGCTGCAGGCCCAACTTCTACGGCCCCTCGAGGAAGGCGAGAAGTACGTGGCCATTGGGATAGACGGCACCCCGGTGGAATTCGAGCCAGCCACTGGGCAGGTCAATGAACATGTGGGACATCGATTCGTCAAGTAAGCATGATACTTTCTTTCTTTCTATTGCTGTTTTTGTCGAGTCGAAACACCCAGCGGAACGCAACTAACCACATCATCCTCACAGCGGCCCCGTTGCCCTCGTCTATCACTCCTGGGGCGTCTTCGTCGGGCACGCCGCCGAGAAAAAGTACCTGGACGCCGCCTCGTACTGCCGGATCGTCCCCATGCACGTCCAGCAGTGGATCCACCCGGAGACCGACGAGATCTTCATGCTGCCCCCGCGGCCCGTCGAGGTACCCAGTCGGCTCCTGCGCAGCGCGGTCTTCGCGTGGGAGCCCAGTGCCACCTGGGCGGCCATCCGCGAGGTGCTGGTGGCGGCGCGCGAGAAGCACACGATCACCACCTTCGTGGGCTTCGCGTGCGGGCCGATGTTTGGGGAGAGCCCGTCGGCGACGCAGCACGCGCTCGTCTGGATGATCATCCGACTCTTCCGCCGGGACGGCAAGGGCGAGTCGGACGAACCCTTGGCCTGCTCGCTGCAGGACCCGATCTACGACGCCCAGGAGAAGCGCCTGCTGAACCTGCTGAAGATGACCGTCGTCGAGGACCCGCAGGCTTTCCTGGATGTGGAGGATTCCTCGATCGTCTTCACCTGCAACTCGGACGTGCCGGTCAAGGAGATCGTGCTGGATATCGCACGTCCTGCTATTATGATCATTGACGATATCACACGTATCAACTCGTGAGTTTGTTTCTGAGGACTGGTTGCCGGTGCGCGAGGGGTGTGGTGCTAACAGGACTAGGATCTACGACCCTGTCACTAATCGCGTGCTCAAGGCGATCGGGGACTCTTATGAGATGTTCGACTTCCCGGACCATGAGGCGTTCGGGAAGATGGCTATCTACGTAAGGAAGTAGATGCGCATCCAAGATGATGACTTGCATGACCGAGATGATGGGATGGTTGGGAATGTATTTGAACGAAATCACGAGCTGCTCACTTTTTTTTTGTACCATAGCGAGATTGACATGTGTTTTTGAGCAAGCTAAAATCATTGGTCTGTGAACTATATGGAAAAATCGAAAAATCGAAGATTTTTGCTTTCGATGGGCTTATTTCTCGTAGGCGAAAAATTATTTCTTCGCTGCGTGGGCTATCGTGCATGTCATGTCGCATGGTCGCCCTTACGAGGATATTCGTCGGTCTTGCCTTTCCATTACGTTCCTTATGATACGTTACTTACTCGGGACTGTCGCTGAGCTTCCTCGTTCCGACTTTGCTGGTCTGTCTCGCTGGCAATGTGACCGGTCGCGTCTGCCACTCAACCCGCGATTCCGTTACGTGCTCGCAAGCTGTTATTAGACATTGAGAGTTTCGTTATATACCGTGAAAGTCAGAGCATTTGCAGTTGTGTTTTGCTTTCTAGGGTATCTTGCATCGTGGACAGGGTGAAAGTTTTTTTGCCATCAAAAGTTGATTGAAATGTAGAATTGTAGGGCCGCTCGCGCGCAAAATATATTCGCTCTGGGATTGAGCAAAACCGCCCGCTCACGGACGAATCTGTTTATCTTCTCGTCCCAAAGTATCGGATGCTAGAGAGCGAGACAGCAATGAATGACTTTTGACCAATTCTGGTACCCAGAAAGAAAGAAAAAAAAAAAAAAAAAAAAGGGAGAGAAAAAGGAGAGAGAGACTGACAGTTTGGTGCGATCGAAAGAGGGGAGAGCAAAAAGACAAGCGAAAAAAGAAAGTGGCGCTGCCCGGAATCGAACCGGGGCTGGCACGGCCACAACGTGACGTCATACCACTAGACCACAGCACCTGTTGTTGTGGGAGTTGCCTCAATATTACCGTATATGACTGGATTTACCTATTTGTGGGCTGCAACTACTCGCCGTGCCGATCGTAGGGTCAACCCCGAGTCTCTCAGATGTAACACTACACAGACCGCGACAGGGTCAATATACAAGCCGCGTCTCCACCATGTTATGCTTCTCCAAGTTATTGATTGTCCAAGATGTGCGTCAATAAGACCCAGGGTTACTGTCTGAGGCTGAGGGCCGACCACTCGGGGTCGGGCTGAACTCTGGGTCCGATCGGGGATGTCAGCTTGTGAGACTGACAGTAGTGTCCGGGGTCAGCTACTCGCTACTCGCAGGAATTTAAGATTACGCTCAAACCTGTCGTACGGTGTAGATGTTTGCATGGCGTTCTCGATGCCGAGTGCGGACTCCATTCCAGCTGATCTTTCTCCTTGCGTCAGGTGACAGCTCTAGCCCTTGGCTGCAAGATCACAGCTCAGATCACAGCTACTGTGGATCCTGGTGGCTCCCAACCAGCGTTGAAGAGAGAGATAAAGTAAGTGTGAATACGAGAACGGGGGGGATCAGTTGACGGATGACCGCACAAGAGATTTGGTTTTGGTTTGTGGTCTGGTGGGGGAGTGGCTGGGGAGAATGTCTGGGGTGGAGGCGAACCCCGGAACCGCATTGGGGCCCAGATTGCTGTAGATTTCCGATGCGCCAACAAAGAACAAAGACTAAAAGAGGACAAGTGAAATATCACGTTATCACCATTCACTATTCACCACCAGGCAGCTGCCTGTTGCTGCCACTGCTGCCACTGCTGCATCTGCTGCTGCATTTCCGACCGCTTCCCATCACCCACGTGGGCTCTCGTTCTCCCCCCCCACAACCTCGTTTTCACTTGTTATCTCTCTCCCTCTCTCTCTCTGTCTTTCCCACACCCATTTAAATCCCTTTTTCTCTTCTTCCACTCTCCTATCCTCCCTTCTAATCCAAATCATAGATTTCCTCTGCCCTTTTTTTTTCTTTGTCCGCACCCCTCAAACTCCCGTGTCAAACTGCTCACCACTCACCCCCACTAGAGGCCGTGACCTCTCTCTGCCCCGGTCACCATGTCGAGCAACTCCACCACCACCACCCCCCAGGTCAAATCCCAGGCGGGAATCCTGGAGGGCAGCAATCCGACGGTGTACGACTCGTCGAACCCGATCATCCTGTTCATCATCCAAGCGAGCATCATCATCGTGCTGTGCCGGTTGCTGCACTGGCCGCTGTCGAAGATCCGGCAGCCGCGCGTCATCGCCGAGGTGATCGCGGGCGTGGTGCTGGGCCCGTCGGTGATGGGACGCATCCCCGGCTTCACCGACGCCATCTTCCCCAAGGCCTCGATCCCGGGGCTGAACCTGGTCGCCAACCTCGGTCTGATTCTGTTCCTGTTTCTCGTCGGCCTAGAGACCAACCTTCGCTTCCTGATCAGCAACTGGCGCGTGGCGATCAGCGTCTCCGCCGCGGGGATGGTCCTCCCCTTCGGGCTGGGCTGCGCCGTCGCCTACGGGCTGTATAACGCCTTCCGCAACGAACCCGACACAGTGGACATCAACTTCGGCACGTACTTGCTGTTCATCGGCATCGCGATGGCCATCACCGCCTTCCCCGTGCTGTGCCGCATCCTCACCGAGCTGAAGCTGCTCGGCACCAACGTGGGCGTGATCGTGCTCTCGGCGGGCGTGGGCAACGACGTCGTGGGCTGGATCCTGCTGGCGCTGTGCGTGGCGTTGGTGAACGCGGGCTCCGGGCTCACCGCGCTCTGGGTGCTGCTGGTCTGCGTGGGCTACGTGCTGTTCCTGGTCTTCATCTTCCGGCCCCTGTTCCTGCGCTTCCTCGCCCACACCGGCAGTCTGCAGAAGGGGCCCAGTCAGTCCGTCGTGGCCATCACCCTGCTGATCGCCCTGGCGTCCGCCTTCTTCACCCAGGTGAT